GGGCACAATACATGAAATACAGTTGGTTGTAGCCTATTTTTTATTTATTTGATTATTTAAGTTGCATTCTCTGTATGCTTTTATTTTTGGACTAATAATAAAGTCAACTAATTGTATGTGAGAGAGACAGTGGTAATATCAATGTGTTCCTATTGGTCAGTGTTAGAGGAGCTCAGCTTAGCCTGACAGTTAGCCTGCTCCGGACCAAATTAGTTTCCCAACATAAGTTGCCAGAGTGACTGAGCTTAAGCTATGGTAAATTTGCTTTATGAAACCAAATCAAGTGAAAATAAGTCAGACTAACTGAAATAAGCCTGGCTTATTTGGTAAACTTGTTTTATGAAACAGCCCCCTGGCAGCCAAGTAGGGCACACCAGCAGAACCGTGACAGGTTGGTGCCATGACTCAGAACACCCCCCTCCCAGTCCCACCACATTATTTTTGTTACTATGTTTCTCTTGTAAAATGCTTTCAACTTTAAACATTATTTTAATAATGACCATTTACTTCTGTCCCTAGCCCCATTTACATGTAAGGATCCTATAAAAATATCCACAGTAAACAAGGGAAAGGATAGAGAAGAGAAAAGAAAAGAAGAAAGAGGGAAAAAAAGCCAGATCCTCATGTGCACCTATAGAGTTCAGGTCCGTCCTTATTAGGGGGGTGCAACTGGTGTTTTTTCTTACACAAATGCATCACTTCGCTTCAGAAACCCTTTATAATGACTATGAATGTGTCAGTAAAAAAAATTAGCAATGAGATATTTTAATTATTTAAGTATAAACTATAGTGTTTTCTGAGTCAGTGTCCATCGCAAAGATACAGTTTACACAATGCTTACTTGCCATCTCTAAAAGTTGATATCAGCAGCTTTGTGTATAGGTTTTAAGAGGAAACTCTTATCTAAGAACTTTTACTGCTATTTAGGAGAACTCTTAGTGCTAAGATAAAATGTTTCGTGCACTAACTTGAGAAAACTATTGGCTTTTAGAGCTGTTTTACAGCAGAACTAGAACGGTCTCAAACTGTCATAGCTGAGTTTCCATAATTGCCTCTGCTATTTTTTTTGTTTATCTCTGTGAAGGTGCTTTGACACAATCTGTATTGTATAAATCACTACAAAAATAAAGGTGACTTGACTTAACTTGACAGGAAGTCTGAGCCAATTTTGCCTAATATCGCTGCTTTATATGTCCTACCAAAAATGCTGAGATCAATAAATGAACAGTGGACGACTGATTGCACTGCTGCATACTTGGGAAAAATAGAAGAGTGGTGGTGGAAGCACGAGGGAGGTGGAGAACAGCAGGACAGAGTGTCGATTATGAGTCACATCAAGTGATCAATGATTTCATTAATAAGACGGATCATATGGCTGTCACCAAACTGTCACCGGTGTGAGAAATGATCCCATAGCAGATTTACCAAACCCTTCCACTTGGGAATACCGGAATTACCCCCATACACACACACATATCCACACATCCATTCAATAATTCCCCGTTAGTGTAACAGCCCTGCACCAAACGGAGAAAAAAAAAGGGGGCGGGGGGACAGGTCAGACTGGACAAAAAAATGAAAAGAACTTCAGAATAAACAGCTCAGAGAGGGAGAGAGACAGGAAGAGGAAAGGAGAAAATCCATTTTGAGGCCCCATTTTCAATTAGGCTCCACAAGCTGTTATCACAGGTGTCGCAGAATAGGGCCGAGTAAGGGAGAGTGGCTGCTATCTGCCTGCTGAAATGAACCCTTATCTGCACGCCACAAAGATGGGCCAGGACAGACTATCTGTAAATTACTTTCCGGCCATGCTGCTAACAGGAACTTTATTTCTGTCAGATGACATTCGCTTCTATTTGCTGCTGATCATTTAAATGGCTGCTTAAAAGAGGGATGTCACCTCTGCCTCTCTCTTTCTGTTCGCTCGGGCTCTCTTTTCATCCATTTGATAGGTCCATCTTTTTTTCCGGAGGTATAAAGGCTTATCACAATCTCAAAATACACCTGAATTAATTTTTGGTATTAAAAAAACTTTAAGCTACAGTGAATCAGCAAAAACAAACAAATTAAAAAATATTATTTCGTTCAGAAAGTTAAACCATGCACCTTAACCTTTTGTCACCAAGGTGCAAGATCCAGTTTCCAATGTAGATCCGTTCCGCTGGTTTTAACTAAAGAAATGACAGTTCTTCTCGAGGAAAATCAACTGCAATTATACTATATACAAGCTATAATTTAACTAAAACCCCTTAACCCCTCAAATAATTCACAGATTAATTTAACCCCTGAACCTGTGTGACATTTTACATCGTTTTATAGTGATATATAAAATTATTTATTTCAATGTATTTATAAAATTGTAATTATTAGTAGCCTCAAGTTTGACAAGTTTCAAAGAGGCTTCCCCAACACGGTTTACACTGAACACTTCTCAAATTATTGAAAACGTGAGTGGAAACAATTTGCCTGACAAACTTCCAAAGTTGTCCCTCCTTTTTTCCTCTATTTGTCCTTGCTTCTTCACTTCCCTCCCTCCGTTCTTCATGCTTCCTTCATTCTTGTTAATTTCATCACTCTGGCATCCATGAAAAAGTATGACAAACCAACAATACCAAAACGATTGTGCACTCTCATTCTCTATGTCCCTCTGTCCTCTCTCTCACTCTGAACAGAAGGTGCCTTTTTGCCCCTTTCTCCTTTTTAATTAACAAATTATCCCATGACGACCAGGTTCATTCAGTTGAAGCACACGAACATCTCTCTCTCTTTCTCTTTCTTTTTCTCTCTCTCCCTCTCACGGTCCAGGCAGCAACAATAGAATCAGAGGACTTTGTTGTCCACCTGCCTAGCAAATGATGTGAGTTGCAGAGGAGGGAAGCCCCCCTTCCTTTGCTCCTTCCAAAGAGGACCAATCAGGCCATTGTGGTGGCACAGTCGGTTCCTTTGAGCTGTCAGGCCGGGGGAGCCGGTCCACAGATGAATGCTTTGCAGCCCTGCGCCAGTCTTTAGCTAACCATGTGGGAATGCTCCCCACCAAGCATGCACAATTACAGACTCCAGCTAAACTTTACATAAACTTTTACACCGTGTGGTTAGAGAAAGTGGAAAGGAATAAAAGTATTAAAGGGGTCATATGATGCTGCTAAAAAGAACATTATTTTGTGTATTTGGTGTAATGAAATGTGTTTATGCGGTTTAAGGTTAAAAAAACACTTTATTTTCCATATACTGTACATTATTGTTTCTCCTCTATGCCCCGCCTTTCTGAAACGTCGATTTTTACAAAGCTCATCGGTCTGAAAAAGCGAGGTGTGCTCTGACCTCAAGCTGAAGCGAACTTGGGTTCTGCAGCAGGACAATGATCCAAAACACACCAGCAAGTCCACCTCTGAATGGCTGAAGAAAAGCAAAATGAAGACTTTGGAGTGGCCTAGTCAAAGTCCTGACCTGAATCCTATTGAGATGCTGTGGCATGACCTTAAAAAGGCGGTTCATGCTCGAAAACCCTCCAATGTGGCTGATTTACAAAAATTCTGCAGAGGTTTGTGTGGAATATAAAACTTGAATCCCGTGAAGTGTCAATGGTGATGGCATTCATTTAAAAGTGGGTCTCTCCCCTGAGTGTGGGACTGAATCCTAGCTAGATGATCACTGCAGCAAACATTCCAATACAAACCTTATGCTGTTCAGAGGAGTAATTAAAAATCCACAATCAGTAAGCCAAATTACATCCATGCTTTTTCCACAACAATAAAGCTCTATCTTTGGGGGGGGTGGAGACAGAACTCATAACAGCAATTAACGATGCCCTGTTCGACAAAAAAAAGAACATTCTTTTTCTAACTTCCTGCCATATCACCAGAGGCTTTCATATGGAGTGGTACAAAAAATAAGATCACTAATCGACCAAGACAAACACCCACACAACATTTGTGCAACTTTTTGTGTGGAGAAGAAAAATGTTTGTTACAACTAATGCTAATACCATTTTAAGGTGTATGAGATTTTTAGCTAATCCAAGCTGTTGGTTTATAGTTTCTAGTAGTTTTTGTTGTTGAAAAACAATGTGCAACATTTCTCTAAAATTATATTATGATGCTGCTTGAAAGTTTTGAGGCACTTTTAAAGTTAAATTGAGAATCGCCAGTTAGTAAAAGTGCATTTTGTTTTATCTGAAATGAATGTATTTTGCAAATAACAGAATTGCAAAAATAATGACTGTTTCTAACAGGTTTCCCACACACTGCAACTGGTCAGCCAAACAGATATCCACCCCCAACTTACAACATTGGTGCAGCTGTTGCTGTGTCGAGCTGGTCGAGATTCTCAACAAAACAGGGCAATGTTTGAGCGTTACTTGAATAGTACTTTAACATCCAAAAAATTACACACTTCACTTTTAAACAATTCAAACAGACAGAATCAATAGAGAATAGAAATTTAAGTTTGACAAGTAAGAGAAGAGATTAAAGAGAAGAGGTTAAAGTGTTGAAGCTGTACCATTGGAGGTAGTGCTGGAGGCCACGGCCTTCTCACTGATGTCTGCGCAGGTGGGTGCACTCTTGGTGGCTACGATGGTCTCCACTTTCTTCTTCTTCTCTGCTGCAGAACTGATCTGGGACTGGGTTTCCATGACAACAGCGCATTCCTCAGTACCTCATCAAGGCAGGATACCTGAAGGGTCATGGTAGGAAGAGGTCAGTGGTGGGAGGAAAAAAAACTTTTAAATTAACAAAAATAAACATCTTTAACAAATAACACACAATTAAAAACAATCAATTAATCAGTTCATACACTAAACATGACTGTGTGTTTTACCAACTTTCCAATTCCATATATTACATTAAATAATATGGACAACTTAAAAAGTTTTAAAAAGGTAAAAGGTTAAAAAGTTAAAATTAGTCTGGTTTAGTCCGTCTAAAAACAACACAAAAACGGTGACACTTTACAATAAGGTTCATTAGTTAACTACTTTAGTTAACATGAATTAAGAAATGTATTGTTCATTTTTTGTTCATGTTAGTTAATACATTAACTAACATTAACTAATGGAACCGTATTTTTTTACCCAAAAAAACATTACTAACTGTTTTCTAAGTGACAGGAGTAGGTAACAAGATGAATATGTAGGTAGCTGTCTGGGATTTACAACACAGCTATTCAAGTTTGGTGTGCTTGATTCTCCAGAGGAGGGGTGTAACAAAACAACAGTTAGCTTTGTTTCTTTAGGGATTTTTCCCCCTCAACCACTCGAGTGTGTGTTCACTTTCAGCTCGACACAACATCTATTAAAAATCCTAGACTACAAAAAAAAAAAAAAAGTATTTTGTATGTTTTCTTTTTTTTTTTTTTTTCTGTCTTACAGAGGAGATAGTTTTTCCCTTCTCAGTTCATTCACTTCACATCCCAAGAAAAGAGAAGGTGAAAAAGAGTGAAAGAGGACAATGATGAGGTATAGACTGAAAAAGAGAGGAAAGGAGAAAAGGGAATATGCGGAGAGAAATTGGAACATGCACATTCCTGTGGACAAGCAGATACAGAGAGCCTGTGTCCACTCAAGCATGGCTGACATGTCTTTTGTTTGCTCTATGGGACGGCCGGCCTGTCATCTGCACCAATTAAGACTAGGACCTTTTCACCCATAATCCCACTGACTTGGCCTGTGCCACTTAATCCCACAGTTGTTCCTGAATTCTTCGCTCTCTACACTCTTTCATCCATCTCCCCCTCAACAACACTTTTCTCCCACTTTTTCAATTCCTTTATTTAGTTCTAATCCAACACACTGTAGGTGCAAAAACTGATTCCAGAGGAAAATGTTATTGCTCTTTCATATTTTGAGAGACAAAATGGTGAAATCAAGAGAAGTTATAACTTTAATAAAAATGAGACAATAGTTGCCATATTAGCTAATGTTAAAGCACAGCTTGATACTTTGTTTTAGAGCAGTTTAATACTAGATATTTAAAAAAAAAATTACTAAAAATCTGAGAGGCAGGAAACTAAAGAAGAAAAGTCTAAATCTGGGCTCCATTTAACTGAATTAATACTTTGGAGAAACAATTGAGATATGTACCTAATTTGTGAGTTATTTATTATTTTTTGAGTTCATACTAAAATCTAAGATTTGCTTTTCTGAAAAAACTGAGCACAGATTGAGACATCTCTTCTGAAACTCTAAAGGAGGCTTGTGCTATTACTAGAGTGTTATTTTTAAGAGAAAACTACTGGAACAGGACACCATAAACAAAAGTCTCTGTTTCATATCTCTACTAAGATTAAATGGAGGAAAAAGGAGATATTAAAGAGATCTCATGTCTTTCCTACTCATTATGTGCTCATTAGGCTGTGTCATCAGTCTGTTCATAATACTTTAACTTTATTACATACAGGTGTATTTCAGCGTGTTGGTCAATAGCACAATGTTAATTAAGTGCAGCATGAAATGAATAGATGATGAGATTATGGCCTTGGAGTATGCACCAGGATGTTAAAGCTTGCTATCTAAATGCCCTGAATTGAAGAAGCTCACAAAAGAACGCATTAAAATCAGTGTTTGGTGACAGTTGTTTCCCATAATAAATGTAAATTCTCATATTAATGCTTATTCCTTGCACTGACAGAGTTCCACGCCCAATTAGCTGTGGGAAAGAGAAAGGGTGTTTCATTCTGTGTGCTGGTCCATAATCCTTTCTCACAAAAAGAGAAGCGATTAACCAGGTTTAAAATACCGCAATTCAGCCTTCTCCAAAGGAAAATTTTTTTTTTATTTTAAGCACATTAAGCAAATCAATTTAACATAAATTATACGCTCTCCTGACAAAAGCAGGAAGTTGAAATTCAGTTGTGAATGGTACATCAAAGTCATGAACATACCTGTCAACCCTCCCGTTTTTCCCGGGATTCTCCCGTATTTTACCATTCTATCCCACTATCATCCTGTTTAAATATTTTTCTGTATTTCTCTCATATTTTTAATCTTTCTATAAAAAAAATCTCACTGTGCGTATTTTATGTTTCCTACATTCGCCTCCGGTAAAACCTCCGTAATTTGTATGGCCCAAACCTCATATGAATATTCACGTCAACAAATTCCAAGGTTGCCCAGTTGCCAGATCTTGTATGAAACGCATCCTTCTCACACAATCGACACATACAAATTTCAACCCATTTGTCCCCTCAACTTGACAACCTACAACAGTGATGAGTACCACGGGAAGCAAAGGATCACTGGTAGAAATGGGACGGGAGAAGACTCAGGTGGTGCTCCAGTGAAAAAAACAAATATACATGCAAATTGAGATATAGCTTACACTTCAAAAGGCTATGGTTTAATTGATTAAATATGAGCGTTGCAAGTTGCAAAATCAGGTGCTGCACTGCTTTGTTGACTGCGGTTACCGGGGAAATGGCTATATTTCTGGCGAAAAGCAAAAGAATGAAGAGAGAATGAATTTGCATTTTTCAATAAGCCCTTCTGCTTTTTGTTTTAGTCCAAAGCCAAAAACTACCCTTATTTTTACGCAGAAAACACACAGTTTGATATACACGCAGTTTAAATAATTGTTTGATAATATTTTTTTTTATTAATATAATAACTCCCCCCCCCCCCACCTCGTCTCCCGTATTTTGGGACCCAAATGTTGACAGGTATGGTCATGAAATTGAAATACACTTGAATTATTAACAGGTTTGATCACAATTCTAATTAGTTTACTTCAGGTGCTCCCTTTAACCTTGCCATCATGCAAACATATGTTGCCTCCAAAGGTTATGCATGCTTCTCATACTTGCATAGTTCTCATAAACTAAAGTCAGTTTCTAAAAGGTGGGATTTAGGACTAAGGTTTAGGATTTAGGTCTCTGGTGTGCAGTTGAGAGCAGCGCTTTTTTTGGCCTAAGGGGGCGCCAATGCGTGCCTCAACTCCTCCGTTAAAATTTTAACTTAATGACAATGCATTTTAGAAAAAATTCACCACATGTTACGTAGATTTAAGCATCTAAATATTAGCCTAAGAATGTTTTTAAATGTTATCAGAAAGAAGGTGATCAGAAATCCACATATTGTGGATATAGTTTATACTGACATTATATATTTTAAAAATGAATGAGGGCATAAGCGAAATAACACAAGAAAGAAAAAAAAACACATAAAAAAAAATGTCCAGAAAACACAATAAAGTGTTCTGTTCACATGTGGTAATCTAAAGATTAGTAAAAAAAAAAAAAAAACATCTATTTCACGTGATTTTTTTTTTTTTAATCATATCATTTTCCTAATTATAAAGCTTAAATTGATATCTTTGCATTTGCATCCTGAAAATTTAATTTAACTCTAAAAAAACATTTAAAAGGTAATGTGAATGTCATTAAGGCCTTTCTTTCGTTCACTTATAATGCAGGTTCCAATAAATTCATATTTGTGTAATGAAAAGGCATTAATATGTGATTTTTTTTATGGTAACACTAGGAACCAATTCTCATTATTAACTAGTTTTTTATTAGCATGCCTATTATTATCATATTGGCTGTTTATTAGAACTAAAGCATTGATTCTGCATGACCATATTCTTCATCCCTAATCCTACCCAATACCTAAAAGTAACAACTACCTTACTAACTATTAATAAGCAGCAAATTAGGAGTTTATTGAGGCAAAAGTCATAATTGATGGTTTGTTAATAGCGAGAATTGGACCTTAAAATAAAGTGTGATATTGTTATTTGTTTGTTTTCATTAATTTACTTTGAATGTTAAGTAATATTAATAAACAATAATGTTATATATGATTTGACTTGGGCTAATTTAAGTGTATTTATACATTTAAGTTTTATTGAAAAAAACAATTGGCTACTTTTGCATTATTGAAAGTGGAAAAAATATTACAGTTGTATTATTTAAAGTGAAAAAAAATATTACTGTTAAACTGGGAACAAATCAATAGTCACATTTTTCAGAAAAGGAAGGTGTAAGAGGAAAAATGGGTTGTTTCAAAGACAAGTGAGCCAAAATCCCTTGTCTCAGCATTGCAGTCCATTGGTGAGTGTTGAGCACTGTGCACTAATAAGATTAGCTTTCCTCTCTCCCTCTCTCATACAACCTTTTCCACTTAAGATGCTTTAGAAGTGCCAGAGAGGGACCGGGAATGACTTTCAATGGCGATTGAGCCTGCCACGTCTTACATTCCTGGGTAACAAATGCGCAACGATGTAATCTTAATGCTTACATGGTCCCTCTTTTGCACTTGCTGCTCAGGAGATAAGAATGGAATAAAGAACACGCAATAATACCAAACCTCCAGTGAGCATCAACTCCTTGGCTTATTAGTTGCCTTGTTTGTTTGTTTTTTCTGCCCCGCATTGGTTTATGAGCTGAGAGTGAGTGTGGAGATACAGAGAACAAGAGACTCTAAAGACGTCGCAAATGAAGGAGAAGCTTTTTTCATCTTTTTTTCTTCCCCTAGAGTAGAGAAGTTTCTGTTGTCTCACAAATGCTCCTGACAAGACTTATTTTCATGCTGTATCAGAGAGCTCCTGTTTTATGGTTTGCGTTCTTTATTCTTTTAGATCAGGGATGAGCAGTTTTGGTCCTGGAGGGCCACTGTCCTCCATCTCCAATTAAACTGCCTGTAATTGTAACATAATGCTAAAGACTTTGGTTAGATTTTTCAG